AAAAAATCAATACCCAGAATTTAATTTTGAGCAAGGAAGCAGGAAGGTGCGGCTGAGTGTGCCACAGGGGAGTCGGGGTGGAGACGTCATGTCCTGCCCCTCCTGGAGCAGGAAAGCTGGTCAGGGCAGAGGGCACAGGGCAGTGGGAGGGGCCCTGGTGTCGGGGACGGCCTGAGTCCCTGTCCCCTCACACTAGGCTGCAGGGACACCGACACGCAGACACAGTCAGACGCCAGGTGCAGGGAGAGCGGTCGGGGACCCCGACGTCACATATCCTTGCCCTCACAAGGCCACTGCCGTGGCTGAACGTGTTCCTGCGTGGAAGCGGCAGTGGATTGGAAACACACAGAGACACACAAGTAGAGAAAAGTGGGGATCGGGTGGTCCAGACTCCTCTGCCGGAGGAGTGGAACACAAAGCCCGTTTTCTGATGTTTAGGCAGAAGATGTGACCCTCCGGCATCTTGGAGTCCTGTAGGCGCTTTCGCTTACCTTCCCGGACCTTCTCTGGCTAACAGCCTCCTTTAACCAACACCACCAGACGCCCCCTGCAGTGCTGACACAGAGGAAGAAAGGTGTCCTTGTTTCTTTAGTTCCCAAGTTTTAGTCAAGAACTCACTAACTATGCCAGATAAGTGAGTTTTTAAAAATGATTTATTAACTTTATTTTTATTTTGACCAGTGACAGAGAGAGAGAGAAAGGGAGAAAGTAAGCCAGCCAGTCTGAGACTGAAACCGTGGTTGGCCATGTGAGAGTGTCCAGCACCTTAACCACCAAGTCACTGGCTCTGCCCAGATAAATGAGCTTTAATCCTCCTCGTCCTCCTCTTCTCCATCCTGGTTCCTCTGGAAGTAAGGTCATTCCTAACTCCCGTTGCTGTCAGCACTGCACAGCCAACCACGTAGCTTATTCTTTGTCAATATTTTTGGTCAGAGTTCAAATACCTTTTGGGAAAAGGCACGCTGGAGGTCACGGTGACCTTGCTCTTGCTCCTTCCAGTGGTCACACCCCTCCACCGAGATCCCAGTTTTTCCTCTCACTTTGGTTCTCTCTTGGAGAAACTGCTCAAACTTGGCAGCCTCCATGACACCATCTCCGACAGGGAGGGTGCCGTCAAGGGGAAACTTCAGAATGTGCTTCTTTTGTTTGCTCCCTTCACCACAAGCTTTCCTACAGGTGCCATGGCAGCAGCGGAGGCAGAAAGGGCAAGGAATAATCATGTTGCATTAGCTCTGCAGCATTACTACAAGGTCTGCGGTTACGCCGAATTTAAAGGTCACTGCTGTGCTGCTCACATCTGGCCGCTTCCTACAGGCCGCCGACTCACACTAAGAAGAGAACCACGAACAGCTCACGTCAGTCACTGTAACAGGAACCTCTGATGAGGCCTTCGTGTGCTCAACACGTCTCAACCCAGATCCCCACAGCCCAGCACTGTCCCCTCCCCACCCCAGTCCTGCAGGGTCTCACCTTTAGGAGCCATGAGAGATACATCAGAGCCCTGGTCACTGTCGCTGCCTGGGTGGGGGTGGGGGACAAACATGGCCTGGTCAGAGCCGCAGGGGAGAAACTAGAGGAGGAATATGGTGGGTGTCCCCAGGGGCTCCTGGCTGTGCTGTCCCAGGGGTCAGGTCACCCTCCCCTCATACTAACGGGCAGTCTGAGCGTAGTGCCCTTTCTTTCCACCTGTGAGGAGAACACACCTGTGAGGGACAGGTCCATGGGGTCCTCAGAGCCAGTAACCCTGGGCTCCAGAGAAGTTTCCAGAACTGTGATTACAGACCCAGAGCAGGGTCAGGGAATGTGAGGATGGAGATGTGGGAGGGCGACCAACAGCCTGCCTGGAGGACTGTCCTCAGCAGGGACTGTCCTTGTGGCCTCAGACTGCTGGGAACCAGGTCCCCATCCTCATC